CTGACAGATCCCCGCCCTCGGCCAACTTCTCTCCTGTGGATTCAGTGCCCTGGCTGTGGCCACCCACTGACCCTGAGCCAGTTTTTCATTATTTCCCCTTGGAGGAGGCAGCAGAGGTGCTAAACAACTGACCGGATCATGGATACCCAAGGCCAGTGTCTAGGGACAGAAGAGAAGACAACACAGCATGAAATTATTTAAAACATCACCTTCCTACTGTCTACAAAATCAGAATCGGTAGTATTGACCCATTTTTAATTTCTGATACTGATTTGTTGTTTGTTTCTTGACCAATTTAGATAAGAGCTTTCCTTTGTTATCCTCATGAAAACTGGTTTTTTTTTTTTCTTTTACTCTATTGCTTTTCTCCATCGTGAAATTACTTTTCTTGGTGTACTCACTTATCCTTTTCCTCCCTTCCTATGTATATTATTTGGTATACATTAATATAGTGTGTGTGTGGCCACAGCAACATTCAGTATAATTTTGAGATTCCTACATTTTTTCAGAAATTGTTTTATATCCCAGAATATGGTTTAGCTTGGTGTATCCAAGATAGTGCTCCACCAGTCAGAAAAAAGTCAATGATAACTTTGTTATAATATGGTAACTTACTTTTCCTATTAATTTTGAAGAGGAAGATATAATTATGTCCTACAATAATTGTAAGATTGTGTGTTGCTCCCTTTATTTCTCTCGATTATTATTTCATGCAGCTCAGACCATGCTGTTACGTGCATATACATTTACATTTTTATGGGTTCAGGATGAAGTTTATTTTTAATTATTTGAAATATATCTTTAGGTCTAGTAAAGTGTTTATCATTTAAGTGCTCCCATTTTAGAAAACACATAATACCAGTAAGCACTTTTTTAAAATGGACTGTATCAGTCTTTGCTTTTTAATTGGACTACTCATATTTAAATTAAAAACATTTTGTTATCATTAATGTACTTGGATTGAGATCCATCATTTAAATATTTTCTGTGCGTTCCCTATGGCTGTGGTCTTAGATGAGGCTTTTCAAAGGTGCCTGGATCTAGACTGTGTGACTCTGGGATTGATTCACGGTGCAGTGCTAGAATTAAGGGCACTAGGATTAGGGGTGTGAGTGCCACCTACCCTAAGGTTTGCTTGCATCTGCTGTCCTCTGCCTGCCAGGAACTGTTTCACCTCTGAAAAGCCTCACCTAAGACCACATGAAACTTTGGGAGGATATCTAGATAAATGCCATAACATTCTGCCCCTGCCCACCTCAAAGCCTCATGCACATCCCTAAAGCAAAAGTCATGTAGTCCACCTCTAAGAGTTGCCAATTTCTAACAGTTTCAGCACGCTGAAAAGTCGAAGTCCAAAGATCCCTCTGAAATTTAAGGCAAACTCCTGTGAGTCCCTGTACAAATGAAAAGAAAGTAAAACACCTCCAACACTCAATGGCACAAGATAGATATTTCTATTCCAAAAGGCCCAGAGAGAGAGATACAAAAGAATAGGAGCAAAGCAAGTCCAAATCCAGCAGGGAAAACATTAAGTCCTGTAGTTCCATGTGCATCATCCAAGTCAATCTGTGGCAAGATGTGAACTCCAAAAGGCTTGGGTGGCTCTGCTCCTATGGCACTGCTGGTAACTGTAGCTCCTACAACTTCAGTCTTGGGCTGGCTCTGCTTCTTCCTCACAGTTTTTCTCAGACCCCAAATTTCTGGGGTCTCCACTGCACCTTTGGCTTCACACTCACAACTTCACACGTTGCCCTCTCAGGTGCACACTACCTTGCCTCCCAGGCCTTCTTCTGAAATCTGAGTGGAAGCCTTTCTGACCCCAAAACTCTTGCATTCTGCATGTACCTAAAACCAGCACCTCATGGATGATACCAGGGTCTACTGTCAGCAGGACCAGTCTCCAGGCTTCTCTCTTGGCTGTGCGGATCAAGTGCCTATGAACCAAATTCTGAGGAACAACTTACCTAGGCCACTGCCATGGAGGAACATGATGCTCTGGGTCTTACTTCATAAAGCAAAGTCTTTTACTTTGGCAATTTTGAGGCTGCAAAGGATAGAGTTGATTTTAGTGATATCCTCAGGGCATATTTTCTATGGTCCTCTTCTGAAATACTTAGCTTTTCCTGCTAGTGTTTTCAATGACCCATTTCTCTTCTGTTCCATTTCTGTAGGCCACAACTTTACTAGAGCCTCCTTTACGGCCAAACTCCCATTTTGAATCATTGTGCTGGGCTCTTTGCTCTTGATTTTCAACATAAATCTGGCTGAAAGCCCCCAACAGTAGCCATGTCATGGTTTTAACTTTAGATTGCCTTGAAATTTCTTCTACCAGATTAATTAGACCATTGCCCTTAATTATTACTCTCCGGCAATGTCTCTGTACATGCACAAAGCACAGACAAACTTTTCTGCCAAAGCATAGCACACATGTTCTGGAGTCCAACAGCCATGCAGTCCTTCTTCCCAACAGAAACATTCTAAGCCTACTTTTACTGACAACATTTCTATCAGCATTCTGATCTTCTGAGCTCTGACCAGAATCTCAAATCAAGTACAACCTCAGGCATTCAAGTGCTGCTTTTTCAGTCAGCATCTCCAAACCTTCCTGGACTCCTCCCATAAGCTACTTCTAAAGGCTCCTAAACCACACGGTCAGGTACAATCACAGCAACAACCCCACTTCTGGCACCAAATTTTGTGTGAATTACTTTTCTCGTTGCTGAGACAAAATTGCCAACACCCAAAGTTAAGGGAGGAAGGGTTTATTTTGGCTCACAGTCTGTAGAGGTTTCAGTCCACAGCTGGCTGGCTCCAAGGCAGGGTGGATGGCAGAGAGACATCACAGAGGAGAAAATAGCTCATGGCAGGCAGAAGACACCAAAAGCAAATAAGAGACAAGTGACAAGCCTCTTTCTGTCCCTATTTCTTATGCGTGCTACCTGCCCTTAGGGTGGGTAGCGCTCACGCTCTTCATCCTAGTGCTGTTAATCCTAGCATTGCACCATGAATCAGTCCCAGAGTCACACACTCTCCATCCAGGCACCTCTGAGAAGTCCCATCTATGACCATATGAGGCTTTGGCAGGAAATCTAGGTACAAGTCATAACATAGGTTGTCTTACTACTTATTTGTAAAATTCCTCAACAAAATTCTGGAAAACTGAATTCAGTAACACATTAAAAAGATAATTCACCCTGATCAAGTAGGATTTCATCCACAGATGCAAGGGACAGTTCAATGTATGTAAATCAATAAATGTGTTAGACTATATTAATAAAATTAAGGAAAAAGATTACCTCAATAAATGCAGAAAACTTTTAATACAACAACTTTTCAGTTAAAACTCTCAAAAATAATTATATTAGGTATGTAGCTAAGCACAATAGAGCCCACATATTACAAGCTCACATCTAACCTCTTATGCAGTGGTGAGAATTTGAAAGCTTTTCCTTGAAGAGTTGGAACAAGACAAGGATGCCCAGTCGAACCACTTTTACTCCATATGGTCTGGAGTCCTCACCACAGCAATTCACAAGAGCAATAAATAAAATGTGTTCATATAGCAAAAGAAAAAGTTAAATTTTCTTTATTTGCCAGTGATATGGTGTTATATATAATAAACTGTAAAGGGTCCATCAAGAAAGTATACAGTTTATAAACAATTTCAGTCAAATTTCAGGTTTAAAATCAACATGCAGAGCCAGGCCTGGTGGCACATGCCTGTAATCCTAGCACTCGGGAGGCTAAGGCAAGAAGATCATTGTGAGTTCAAGGCCAGCCTGAACTCCATACTGAGACCCTGTCTCAAAAAGACAAAAAAAAAAAAAAATCAACATGCAGGGGTGAGGAGTGTACCACACTAGTAAAGCATTTGCTTATGCACAAGGCTATGGGTTCAATCATCAGCATCAAAAAAAATCAACATATAAATATCATTATTGCATTTATATACTAAGAAAGAGCTATCAGTAAAATAACTTTAAAAAATGATCCCATTTAAAATAGTTCCCCCCAATAAAATAGTAGTAAATTTAACCAAGGAAGTAAAAGATCTATAAAATTGAAAATTATAGAACCTTGACGAAAGAAACTGAAAAGAAAAAAATACAAATGGAAAGACATCCAGTGATGATGGATTGTAAGAATATATGTTGTTCAAATGTCTTTCTCCTTGCATCCTAACCCTGTTACTCTTATTTTAGATATGTCAGTGTTGTTTGGTAGGTCCTTCAGATTTATGTACTTCTCCCAACCTCATTTCTCTCTTTCCCCGTTGGTCTGTTTTCCTGTTTGCTCTTTCCTCTATTATCTCAATTTGCTGTTAAGCCTAACAAAAATATTTTCATTAAAGGGACTGTAGTTTTCAGTTCCAAGTTTGTCTTTTGAAAAAAAAACTGTCTACTGACAAATTCTATCCTTTTATTCCTTTTAAGTGTATTTACCCTAAGGAGTGCATTTATATTGTTTCTGCTAATTTAAATATCTGTGTGATCTTGAGTTTGGCATCTAGTGATTGTGTGCATTTCTTGCAGTTGGTCACATTTTCCCAGTTCTTTATATGTTGAGTAATTTTAAATTGTGTTTTAGAATTCACGAGCATTGAACTGTGTTCTTAGTCACAATGCCATAGAGAATGTTTAGGTTTTGTTGTAGAGGGCGCTCTACCCTGGTAGGTTCAGGCTGTAAGTTGCTTTACCCTCCTCTTGTGCGTGTCCCACCTCAGCCGTGGTGGTTCACATCTGGCCCACATGTGCCTGCCACTAGACTGGCATGTTGCTGGGATCCATACATATATAGACACGGGAGCCCGCACTATAATTATTTCCCTATAGAGACTCTTAGACTGGCTCGCCAAGGCACTGTTTCCTATTTCCTCCTGTCAGAAGGACACATTTTTATTACCACTATCAGGCCAATTCATGAGACAGAAGAAATGGAAAACTGACCTATGTAGGGGTACATCTCCACATTTTGATTCCTCCACAGTTGGCCTGCTTTGGTTCACTTTTCTGAGTTCTCAGGTAGGTTAAAAATTTCTCACCAGAGATTTTTGCTGTAATCAATGTAGAAATGAAATTCATACATTGCTTTCAATGTGTTTTTAAAACTGACACATTAAATCTAAAATTCTTAGTTCCTTTATTTCTTTACTACTTATCACAGTTATATCATATATATAATTATTTCAATATCTGAAGTGTTGGAGATCTTATATTTTGCCTTCAGCAAAAATTAGCTCCTGAAATATTCTGCAGTTTAACAAATTTTATTTAGATATAGCTTATCGTATTCCTGGTAATGCTTGAGAATGAATTTTTTTTCTACCCCTTCCTTCCTTTGGGACATTAATATCCAATATTTAAATCACACATTATTAAATTTGAAGCTCAAGCATGCTGGAAGAACACTCACCACTATCGTACTCAAGGGAGAAAATGATTAGGTTTACTGTCTCCTTTGCCACCTCCCACCCCACCCCACCCCGCTGTCCCCTTAGAGAACACGCTCAGTGTTGTCCCTCAGTCCTGACAGTGCTGTCTGCTGTTGAAAATGCTGTAACTGTCCTTTCAGATCAGATAAATGTCAATTATCTGGCTATCCCTGACTGCCTTAGGCATAGGATAGGCTTTCAATTTGCTTAATATTCTGGTGGCAGATAATTCTTCATATTTAGGATCTAGGATTACCCTTATGATTTTAAACACTCTTAGGTATTTAGACGAATGTTTCTCTGTATCCAGAATTGAGAAGAGGTTATCACATTGACTAGTTTGTCCTATCACCTATAGAGAAAATATCAACATTATAAATGTCAGGGAATAAGATTCTCAGACACACATCACATTGATAATATATTGTAAAACATAATGTTTTGTAAGAAATTCTGAATTCAGCATGTGTGCGTTCTGTTTCTTCTAATATTCTACTATAATAATTTGTAGCATTTCTACTTCACCTCTTAAAAAGAATACAAAAATTTGATATTGTAATGTTCATGCTATTAAAAAGCACATAGGAATAATGGGAATTAATGATTTTCTGTTTTCCAATGCAAACATAAAGAATTAAAGATCTGAATTTATGGTATATTTTGCCTACCACTCTCTAGTATCATTTTAATTTTTATATAATTTATAGATTTTCATAAAGGTCTTTTTTTCAAGGGAATGGATAATTAAACTTAGTCTTGCTACCCACTTGTTATAATTTGCTGATACTATTAAATTTTGTGTAGAGAATGAAGACCACAGTAATTTTACTCCATGGAATTTGTGGAGATTTTTTCAACCTTGTATGTATATAACTAATGTTGAAGTATTATTTCATACTGTTATTTATATTCTGTACATATATATATATTCATACATACACATGCTGTTTAGTTATGAAAATCAAAAACTTGCTTATCCAGCATACATGTTCTTATTTTTTCAACTTGGTTTTTAATAGGTTTTCCTAGGTATAACAGACATAAAATGAACAGTACATATGACAGCATATAAATCAGTAAATATTAATATGCATAGCCCATGCAAAATTATAACCACTCTAATCCTCCAAATTTTGTTAGTGTGTTTTCTGTGTAATGCCTCCTTCCTGTTTCTTCTTGGCCTTGGTCTATCCCCACAAAATCAGTGATGTACATCCTGTTTTCAAAGTCTGACACGGGGTAAGAGTTCCAGTACTTTTGAGTATGACTGGAAATAGAAGCCTTTGTTTCCTCAGAGCACAGTGATAAAATATTGTCAACCAAATACATCAAAGCAGTTAGCTCATCTTAAGGGAAACTGTCCATTTCTGAATTGAACATTTACTGTTTTTTCGTCACCTAGATGATGAGTTCTTGATCATTCATTTTTTAGTACTGATGAGCACCAAAGGACAGATCATGGCATGGCCATCGCCCACAAGCATCTGGACACAGTGATGAATTGGGTCATTGTTCCCCAATGTTCCAGAGGAGGAGACAACACAGTCCAAAATGTACATGAGCACAAAAATACCCACAAGCAGCAGAAAGGTCCGAGTGGCCCTTTCCTCTGGGGCTGCCTTTGGAGAAAGGCTGGTGCTGGGAAGATGCTGGAACTGCCTCTTACGCCAGCACAAGAGAGTCCCCATGTATCCACTTGAGAGAGCCATCGAGCCTATAAGGGAGATGGCTTGGGAGTTTATCAAGGAGAAAAATATGCACCTGAACATGTAGCTAATGGGCCACTGAGAGCAGGGTTCAGCGACAAACACAAGACTGTGAGGTCACATTGGGGGTGGCACCAATACTGAAGACCCATAAAAGGAGAAGGCAACATGGGTAGTGATGTGAGGATTTATGCTTGAATTTTGCCAACCAAGAGATTCTGGGGCTTAGGGTGATGGCCTGGAGGACACTCAGCAGGCAGGTGGTACAGATGGAGAGTGCCCTCATCAACCTGTGCACGTAGATAACCAATTTACACATGAGGCCATCCCCGCAACCCTGAAACTCAAAAGTGTCTCCACATATGAACCCCGCGGTTACCAGCATCACCAGGTGAGGCAGGGCCAGCTGCGTGATAGTCAGGTCCAGGGGCTTGAGGAGAAATGTGAGGATGTGGAAGAGATGCAGGACAGTGTTGGCTGAGCTCCGGATGGTGACTTCAGAGAAAACTGTTTCTTATGTCAGTGTGCCTGGAAAATCTTCTCTTTCTGTTCATCTTCACGAGGTAGGAACATACAGTAAGTATCTGAGGAGAAAAGCAAGGAAAATGATCACCAGTATCACCACTGTCATCACCTCAGCCAACACAGTGCCTTTATCAGAACCCCGGATTCCTCCCCACACATTCTCTTCCCTTCAGAACTCAGGCCCACCTCACACCCTCCGAGACGCACGGCTGCTGTCACCCCGCCCCAGCCCTTCCCAATGGCGGCTGGACTGTGAGTCTCCTGCGGGGCCTCCCCGGCACCTCTGTGAGAAAAGTGTCCCAGATGATGGAAAGTACTTCCTTGTCTCTTGTCTCAATTTTAAGTTCTCACAGTCAGGTACAACGTCTTATTTGCCTTCATATCTGCAGAAAGTGAATAGGTGCAAGCAACATGGTAAGAGCCCTACGTTTTTTTGTGTAAGCTGGGAGAGCAGACTTGCCTACATCTGGAAAGAAGATCCTCCCGAGCAGGAACTGTCCACGGGGGAACCGTGCACAGTTATGTGACGCCAGGGACATCTTCAGTCTGATTGATTGCCGGAAAACATTGACAGAGAACCAATGTTTCTCAGTAGGCTCTGAAGTCAGATGGCTTCAGTTTACATCTGTGATCTGACATTTACCAAATGCAGGATTTGAACAGTCAGCCAACACAGCTGAGCCACGGTCATGTGATCTGTAAAATTCGGACAGTTTTCTTCTCTCTTAGAAATGCAGTATTATGTGTATGTGCGAAGGTACCGAATGTGCAGACCGCCCGGCATAGGCATGAAATAGCAGGGATGTGATCACTGTATAATGACTCATGCAGCTGCCTGAGAAAATTACCACAGTCTACAGAGATATTCCAGTTCTGTTCCAGGCTGAAAGAGCGAGGCTAACGCGTGCCAGACACTAAACTCTTAACATCTGTCTGCAGGACACACGGAATGCAAAGCTTTTCTCTGACTCCTCCAAGGCCAGATCTTACATCTACAACTCACGCCAGAAAAACCTTGTCTCAGCAATGAGAGCGCAGCTTTTAATTATCAGACCACCTCCCAGGTTCCTTTTCATCCCACCACGGGCCTGTGGAATGGGGGGTAAATACAGCCACATTTTAAGTGCGGTGATGATCCTTTGCTAAGGTTTTCATTACATGAGAGGCAACCACTTCCACCCTACAGGTCATCATAGGAGTCAAGAAAGGATATTCGTGCAGAGTTACAGGCTGAAGGGTAAAGTTTATACTGCAGAATTTGGTGCTGGCTAATGTACAGGCTATCTCCCTGCAGGATGCAGCTATAACACGAGTGTCATGAAATGGTCACACGGGTGCAGACACATTCTCACAGACTGAACGTCATGGAATAAGACTAGATTTTCTCAGCTGCCCAGAGCACATGCTCTGTAAGTGACTGAGTGGAACCTGAAGGATTTAGGCACCCTGAGCCAGGCAAGTTGGCTCATACCTGTAATTCCAGTAGCCGGGAGGCTGAGGCAGGAGGATTGCCATGAGTGTGAGGCCAGCCTGGGCTACATAGTGAGTTCCAAGCCAGCCTGAACTATAAAGCGAGACCCTGTCTCAAAAACAAAACAAGCAAAACAAAAATTCACACATATTTAGGCACCAGGAACATGTGGTCATACTTAATTATTCAGAGCTAAGTGGGTCCAAATAGTATCAAAACTTCTGATTTTTAAAAATTTTATCTGAAAGATAAAAAACAAAAATTTCAAATCAAGATAACGGGGCTAACGGTGGTTAATACATAGCATATTATTATCTTTAAATTCCTCAGAGTACAATATATAGGCATTTAATTGTCCAAACAATATTAGCACAAACCTTTCTTTTCAATGAACTAAAAAATTAGTAGGATAACTATCTTAACTATCATATTTTTAAAATATTTTTTGCTTTTCCCTTCCTTCTTTTCTCCTTTCCCCTATCCCAGTTTTTCTTTCTTTTTGAACACTTTCTTCCCACTTTACAATACATATTATATGTTTTGGATCTTATTTACTCATTCAGAAACTTCTGATTTTTAAAATAGAAATGTCATAGTAAGAACTCTTAAAAATTTAATCTTTTCCCAAAGGATTGATATGGGAAAGTGATACAATTTTCTCCATTCGCACAGCCAGCAAATTAAGGTTTGTTCCTGTCATATGCTCAGGGGAAGCATCAAGAACGACTCATCTGACTCTCAGGTGTCTCTGACTTCTGCAGATCACAAGCTGTCGTTAAACACAGTCTTCGGTGGTCCTCTTGGTCTTTCATGTATTAATACATGAAAAACACCTACTTCGTGGACATCTTTTTCATGTAAGTTGCCAACTATACCCTGATAACAGTTTAAAGGACTAACATTAAATTAGTGTATACAAAAAACATTTAAAGATATTTTAAAAGAATCCCATGACATAAATCTTAAACTGGTCTCCTCATGTTATTTCTGTGAAATTCAGGCTGTGTTTTCATTCTGTTTTAAAAAATGGAATCTGACAAATAACCTTGTTAAACTGGCCAACTAGCATGTTGGAATCATCCATAAGCCAGGGGACAGAACTAAGTTATTTTCAGCATTGTAAGGAGCTAGAAGCATGAAGGAAGTTCACAAACAGGTCACCTTCCAGAGGCCACACTGGGAAAAAGAAAGAAAGGCCAAGCGGGCAGCTTAGGGAAAACAACATGAATGAAGTAGGAGATGTGGGAGAGAAAACTGTTCATTTTTGAGCAGTCACCACCGGGAACTTTCCTAGTCACAAGGAGGCCGGGACACTGCCTCAGTCACTTCCCCTTGGCCAGGATGAAATACCGGCCAGACACAATGTGTACAGCAGGAGGGGCTAATTTTCACTCAGGTTTTAGTCCGTATTGGTACCATAACCATCCTCATACTTAGCTCATATTGGTACCATAACCAACCATACCAGGGACATTGAGTGAGGTCCCTGGCCCAAGGCAAAAAGATGGCAGCCAGATGTGGCCAGGAAGCAGAGATGGGAGGGGCCAGGGTCAAGAGGACAGCCTTCCAGGCCACGCCCCCCAGCCAGCCACCTCCAACCAGGCCGCACCGAACAGCCCATTAGCTGTGAGGTCATCAGTGGAAGGGTCCACTTATGAGTACAGCGCCTCCCCGATCCGAGCAGCTTCCACGCGCATGAGAACTCGGGGGAATGTTAGATCTAAACCATTGGCAGGTTTTCAACACCGTTTAGCTGTTAATTATCTAATTATCTGTTAATTATCTAATAGAAAAAGGACTCACTTTAGACAGTGTTGTCTTGCAGTTGCTGAGACCCAGGACAATCCTCTGATCCTCGGATGGTTCAGAAATGAGTGAGGAAAGCTTGGGTCAGGGCACCGCAGCCCGTGGTCAGGACAGACCTGGAGTACAGTGGGCGGCAGGGGCCTCAGGAGACAGCCATCAGATCTGGGCACCTGGGGCCTTGCAGGAGGACAGATGACAAGGTGGTAGCAGGGGTGCATATTTGTTTTTTCATAGGCAGCATGAGATTAATCTGCACATCACATGCGAGGAGATGGTAAATAATAATAGGATTGACGTCCAGAATGTAGCCAAGTGTCTCAGATGCACGAACGAGCAAATCTTGGCTGTTACTCCTGGACCTTACAGGTCACCTCCACCATCAGGCCATTAATATTGTCGTTGTCTATGATTTAAGGGAAAAAGGGCCTGTGAGGAGACTGACCCTGAGCACAGGAGTGGGCTAGGTTCATGGGGATATTGGTCTACATTCTCCACCTTTTGGCAGAATACTAGCAGAAAACCGCAAAGAGAAAGAGGTGAGATGCCAGGCGCAGCAGGGAAGGCAGAATCCCCGCCACCAGATAGACGGCCGGAGCCCAGTGCACGGCACTGTGAAGCGCACCGCTCCGGGAGGAGGGAGGAGAAAGCTGAGGACCATCTGAGCACCCGGATGGCAGCTGCGTACCTTACAAAAAAGGAAACACTGACAATCACCTTTGCTGCCCACTTAAAGGAAGCCCAGCCACAGCTCCACATGCTCATTTAGCCACAGCTCCTAACAGCATCGAAGGGGTTGCATCTGTTTTGAGAAAAGGGAAGAGAAGGTGATTACGACTCCAAAGTCAAAAACCAGGAAGACCCAATGGGCACACTCACCAGTCCGAAGCCGTCCTCCCTCACATATGCACAAATCCCACACAAGCGTGTGCTTCTCCTATTAATCCCATAGCGCAGTCGGCGGTCTTGGGTTCTCGCTAAACGGCTTGCACTTTCATTTGTCTTCATAGCCTTTGTACTTTACTAGCAAGCAAAGGGGATCCGTTCACATTTATTGGCTGATAAAAATAGGTAAACAGCCAGTGGGAGGTCTCGTACACACAAATGGAGGTTAGGACAGACGACGATACCTTGGCCTGCGTTTTCCTATTGAAAGGGCCGCTGCCGTATCCACTATGAATGAAAGTTTTAAAATGAAGGTACACGGAGAATGTATTAACATCGTCTTTCTTCTCAAAACGTTCTGGTGGGTTACAGTCTTCTCTCTAGAGAAGGCAGGGGAAATCATCATCGTCACTTTGTTTTCTTTGAATGTAATTGCAGTCCAACTTTCATTGTCCTCTAATAAGAAATTTCCTAACAGCAGAGCAAATAAATGTCAGCAGAGCAAATGAAAGGTTTCAAACCAATGCTGGGACAAGAAAGCTCTTTATGAGAACATGCTTGTACATATTTAGTAGAAATGAGATTAAACTCTCTTCAAGAGCTGATGCCATGGGCAAAGAACCTCATTTCATACTGAATCATTTAAACTATTTTTCAAGAGCCCAAACTGCAGGGGCCGCTTACTCAGCAAGTTTTACTTGTCGTACACAGATCCTAGGAGAGAAACTGAATAGATGGGATGAAAACCTCTAGCAAAAGTTGTCTCTCTCCTGAGGCTGTAAATAGGAATTTAAAAGCTTTAGTCTGAAGTGGTAATAATATATCCTTGAGAAGTGATATAGCATTTTAAAGCCATTTAATTCAGGAGGATAAACACATGCCTGAAAGCAATTATTTCCCATGAAAAATATACTAATTTTATGAGTCACACATGAAAGGCCGGGTGGTTAATCTGTGTCTACAAAAACCTTAGCTCAAAGCCCACTGGCCTCCTTCCACGGCCTGCCTTGGACCCTGCTCGCCCACTGACGCTGCCCCTGTGGACACAGCAGCACTTACCCAGGGGGACTTGAGGGGATCGAGTGCTCCTGAGAAAACTGCAAGCTTTAAGAAAAGGAAGTCCTTAGCTCCCCTCTCCGAAGATGTGTCATTTTAGCAACTGTGGAAAGGCCACACGCTCCTGCTGGGGAGGACAGAGCTACAGAATCCAGTGGAGTGCTTCACCTGTCTCTGCATTTTACTCTCCTCTCTCCTGGGTAACAGCCATCCAGGGACAGTTGTGCTCCAACTTTCCTCTAGGCTCCCCTGACACAGCCGCGTGAGGGATCAGAATGGTCCCATCAAGTACACACCATCCCGTTCTTGGACCATTCACGTAGACGTCATCACGTATTTCTTTTTGATCCTAAATTCAGATTAGTCCAAACCCATGGCAAACTCCTCTGGTGTGAGACGTTCCTGGTGCCTCCCAAGAGTCTGCAGCGCCTTTGAGGCCCCTCTGCCTACGGTGTGCGGCAGGCACTCTCTTCCCTGTCCTCACCCAGAGCACTTGGTTCCTGGCGATGCCTGGCTGTGTGTTTTGAGTGTTTCAGGTCTCGAACTGGGAGTGAAATTTCAATGTGAACTTTAGTACAAATTTAAAAACAGACCAAGGCACAGAAGGAGGTTGTGGGCTGAGGTAAGTACAGGCACAGGAACGGAAATGGTACTGAGGCAGAGCTGGGAAATACTCCCAGAATCTCTAGTTGTGCTGGGCATCGAGCCATCGGCCAGTCCCAGGCTTCTGGAGGAACTGCTCTGCAGTGTTCCGTGTCGCTAACAAGACTTGGAGGTCAGGTACAGTAGATGCATTTTTGACCTGTAAGGGAAAAAAGCAAAACTCAAAAGTCCAGTTTCTACTGAATGCACGACTTCCTCACCCTCACAGCACTGAAAAATAAGTTGAACCATGGTCAGCTACTGACTACATTAACTCACTTTCTAAAAACACTTAGCAGAAGTCTGCTGGGATTTTCTACTGTATTTTTGTCAGCCTCTTCAATGTCTGATGTTAGAGAGCTGTGTTCCCGCACTTATGACCGTAAGCAGTGGGGCATGAATTAGTGCCCCGACAAAGCATAAGGGAAAACACTCAGGGTCTCACATAAGGATGCAGTCGGGCAGGGAAGGCACATGGGCTTCACCGTTTTAGATATGGTCCTTGCAGTGTCGGTGACTAGATGGCAAAGAGCCGCCGTGCAGGCCAAAAGCATGACACACTGACCTGTGTGCTTTGATAGCAGATAGACTGGGACACCTTTCCCAAAGAAAAGGGTGAAAATTAATCAACAGCACATAGTAATCGTGTTCAGCTACTCACTGAACTTTCAACACATAAAAAATGACAACACAAAAGGAAGAAATTGGGGCTGGGGATTTAGCTCAGCGGCAAAAGCGCCTGCCTGGCAAGCGCAAGGTCGTGAGTTCGGTTCCCGGTACCGGAGAAAAACCCAAAAAAAAAAAAAAAAAAAAAGGAAGAAATTGGCAAATCTACACTCATAGCTTATAAAAATCCTCAAACAATAATTTACAGACCAGGCAGACCAAAGAAAGATCCATAAGGAGAGTAAAGTCTGGAATGACACATGAATCACCTTGACCTCACTGGTATCTACAGAACACCTCACCCAATAACTGCGTGCGTGGATATATAGTTTGTTACTTGTACCTCAATAAAACTAATGAAAACAATAGCAAAATCAAAGAGAAAAGACTTGAGGTACATGGGAGTGAATGGGACCTTCACTAAGCTCGTCGAGGATGTTTTCAGAATTAACTAAGCAAGCACAGGAGCTATCTTAGTCTATATCTTCTGCAGTAACAAATCACCACCAATGGGTGCATACCAAGATGGAAAGGGCTTCTGACATTATGGAGGCTGAGAGGGCCTCTTGGCTGGACTGTGCACCAGAGAGAGACGCGGGCTACAGAGGCACTCAGGTACCCGAGGGAGAGACTCACTGGGCCAAAGTCCAATCAGGAGGGTTTGGGAGGGAACGTTGCGCGGCACCTGAGTCTCAGCAGCTCTTCCACGCAGGTCCGGGGTGCACCCGAACCTGGGACGGGACTGGACTCTCCTTCTCTGTGAGAAAAGCCATCTCCTCAGTGGTGACCTGGCTGTCAGAATAGGCTCACAGTGACTCTACCCTCTCCACTGGGAGGAGCTTCACTATGAAGGACACATTTCCAAACGAGGATTTCGCAGCAATGGAAGGCCAGAGTTCTGTATGGGAAGACTCGGGCAGGGACTCCAGGGTGTGCGTACAAATGCACCGGGGACTAGGGACCTGAACGTAAGCACCGAGAGGACTGAGGCCCAGGTCTGTGCAAGCAAGGTGCCTCCAGATGCAGCTAGACTTGCGGGGAGCAGAGGTTTGCCCAAGTCAGAACAATCGGTTACCCATCCTTCCCCCACACCCCGGGGGTACAGCGCCTGGGGGGACAGCCAGCCCACTGCCAGGCCTGCCCATGGGACCTCATGGCGGATCAGCCAGCACCCAGCTGGGGACCGCGAAGGACAGGAAGCCGGGGGCTGTGCCAAGTTCTCCAGGTTAAAACGTGACCCTCCGGGGACAGTGGCTAATAAAAGACTATAGGCGCAGGGACAGAAAGTGGCACCTGGGTCAGAGGGCTTCTGGCTGTGCACCAGGCAAAAGGCCGCGGAGGGAAAACCCGGACACGAGCACGGCACCTGCCACGCAGTGAGGGAGGGGAGCAGGGGTGAGAGGTCGCTGGGCAGAAGTCACTGGAAACCTAGTGATGGCCCAGCGCACCACGTCCTCCCGTGCCCAGGCTAATGGAGGTGGTCAGATCGCGGGACAGAGGCAGAGACCCGCAGTTAGCATGCTCAGAGCACAGCTTGCAGAAGAAGGCAAGTCCAGAGCACCGGCTCCCGGGAAGGAAGTGGGCAGATCACAGTGCAGACACCGGCTTGGGTGCCCCCAGCTGGACTCTGACCGCAGAATGAAGCGAGCTGTGTCGGTGCTGAGTTTTATGCTACGGCAACGGTGCGAGGGGTTTTTGCTTGTTTGCTTGCTTGTTTTTTGAGCGTGTGTGTTTTTTTGTAGTTTTTGTTCCTTTGTATTATTTTTAAATCTAATTTCATTTTCCTTCACCCTCCTCTTTCTTTTAGTCTGTTTTCTTTTTAAAGTTGTGCCTTTTCTCTTTCTAATTTCCTTATCCCACTAACTTCTCTGTCTTCCTCTCTGCCTTTCACTTGATACTATGTATTATATAGTAAGAAGTGCCTGTATATGTGTGAGAGAGACAAAGAATTAAACAGTGCTTAATTTAAACAATACCCTTACTGGGCATGTCAGAGTAACCCTTGGTAAAATAAACTTGTACGTAGAAAATCTAAATAGAACTAAATACAAAGGTATTAAGAGGTTCCAAGAGAAACCCAAAGAATAACTTATAAAGGAAAACCCATCAGAACGGCAGCAGACTTCTCCACACAGAAAGCCCAGATGAGCTTGGAGCAAAGCATTTCCAGCTCTAAAAGAAAACAACTTCCAACCCAGGCTGATATATCCTGCCTAACTATCTTTACAAATTGACGGGGAAATAAGGTCTTTCACGACAAATTCGTGACCAAATCATAAGGGTATCCTAGAGACACTGAAGTCAACTAGTCCAAAGGTCCAATCAAATGAAGACATGCGGCAGGGTGAGTAGTTCCGCAGGAGGGGAAAAGGGGAAATCAACAAGAAAATAATACAATGGCAGGAAAAGCCAGCAGCTCTCAGTCATAACTGTAAACGTGAATGGTCTTAGTTACCCAATCAAGACACAGATTAGAAGAACGAACAAAAGACAAAACCCTACAGTATGCTGCATACAAGAAACACATTAATGTCTTACGTCCTTCCCAGACACCCATGCTGATATGGGAACCTCCCGGGGGTGGTGGGGCCCCTCGTGACTGATGGGTGCCTTTATAAAAGAGGCTCCAGGCACTGCCTTCTCCTCACACCATGCCTATCCATGCTGCCACCGTAAGGCTCAGCCCCTGTGCAACTTACAGGCCATCGAGGCATTGATTCCCACGAAGCTGATGATTCCCAAGATTGAGCTGACTGTGGTGACTGATGACCATTTAAAAGAAGAGTGCTTCGCCTTCCTCTTCAAGGAGCTGCTGAGCACCACGGGCTTCACGCTGTGCGAGGGCCACGGGGCGGCGAGGGGTCCACAGTGCTGATGGCCAGCAGCGCCATCTCGGTGCCGCGTGTGGTGACGGCACGCCACCACATCAGCCTATGCAACCTGACACGGAGCCCGCCACCTTCCGGTGCGGCTCAGGTTTCTGTATCCAGATGAAGTTCAAACTGACTGAGAGACAGTCACGGTCACCCTGTGTACTGGTGTGAAACACGCTGTCCCTGTATTGTAAGCACATTGTGTAGAATTTCTCCCCACACGTCTTAGACCAGATGATGCCTTCGTGTTACTCACTCAGGAACTGGCCCTGAAGGTCAGGGGAGAGCAGCCCTTTCTCCACCTGCTGCCCACTACTCGGCAGAGTCCCCTCCGCACACTGACGTTTGTTGGATGGCCTCCTCTTGTTTGACGGTCATCGCTGGAACCCCAAGGCCAACCTGCTAGAAGAGCTCCCCGTGCTAGTGGCTACTGGGACTGCAGCGGTAAAAAACATCTTCTCAGCGTTTGATGCTCACAGCGTCTGTTCTTGGTTTTGTGCTGAACCGGCGGCACTGTTTAACTTTGTGGTAAGCTCTGTTCTCCCGTGACTAGGGGGAGTCCAGCGTAGCCATGTTGGGAGTCGGGGTTATTAGCTGTGGTCTGGGGGCAGAGTCTGGACCACGGCTGGCAGGGGCTCAGTAGCACTTGGTGGTGAGGCTGCTGCCGCCACCGCCGATGCCAACTCTGCTGCTGGTACAGAAGCTCCAGCAACAACAGAAAGTCCTGGTGCGATGGGCTGTGGTGCCTGGGGGTGCAGGCGAAACTCTGGGTGACCAGCAGCAGGCGGTGTGCTGCGGCGTCAGGCACTTCTGCGGGCTAATGAGGGAGCAGGGGCCTGCCAAGCGCAGCTCGCTGGGCGCCAGGTCCTGGGGAGGGAGCAGGCAGAGGTGCAGACCGAGGTGAGGCTGGAAAACACCACAAATGATATTTCATACATAATTTTGTGTTATCATAGGTCTCGGCTAACTAGTATCTTACAATCTAGACTCGTATTTAGGTTCAAACACAGAAATATCTGACCACAAAAAATAGGTGGAGTGGCCTGAGTATTTATGACTATAACATAATAGTTTAGTTTCTTAAAGGAAATGGGAAAATGTTTAACTCTCTGAGTGACTCAAAAGCAGATTTCCCTCTTTTTTTCACCTGGGGGGAAGAGAGAGCTGGGCATAACTGTGTAAAAGATGCAGCTGTTACAGCTGCTGCTTGCACCCTTCATAGATCTGCTGGCGCAGGGTCTTTCAATAGTTTGGGAACTGCAGGTTCTTGCTGTAGACAGGCAGTTTTGTGTCTTTATTTTTCATGCTTTTGAGGGTTAGATGAGATGGTCAGTGTTGCTGCAGAATTCCTACTAACTCAGCTAATTTCAGAAAATTAAGAAACCCCGCTTTCATATTTGGGGTTTTTAAATACCTGCTTGCTAGCATTTGGAATAACGCTAAAAATAGGCCTAATAAATCCCCAAGAAAAAAAATCCAGAGAACAATATTTGTGACAGTAGAGCAATGCATTACATGCTACAGCTTTTAAAGTATAGACACTAGAAATTCACAGTAATGGGATACAAACAGAGTCTCTAAAGGTACAGCACCAGCCTGCGTTCTTTATCCCTCAGCGGTATCACCACACCCGCCCTCTGTATGGGACACTGCTGATGATTCCCAAGATGGGGCTGATTGTGGCGACTGACGATCATTGAAAAACGTGGCTTTGACACTGTGATTATCCTCCAGCAAGAAACTGGACGTGGTTACTAACATTTCTAACAGTTACTTTGAAATTCTAAAGCCATCCAAGAGAATCCCTCCTCCCAAATGTATACCTTCTGCCCAAGAAGGAAAATGTTTAATATTTGTGACCTCATCAGTGTGACCAGCACAGCTACATGAGGAGCAGATGGAAAGTATCTTGTGCTAATTTTGATTAATATATGTTTCGAGAACTTAACCTTTGTCACCTAAGTTTTCAAATAATCACTATAAAGTTGTTTATAATATCTAACTTCTTAAATTACTTATCCTGGCAATGAGGAATAATTCCCTGATCTCAAGGACCGAAGGGTGCACACGCCTGTGAATGTATATGTGTGCGTGTGGCGGTACAAACAGGTGCTGGGGTGCACTTTGGCGCTGGCAGAAGTAGAGAACTGTCACAGGCTGCACTTGGTGTTAGAAGTGAATGAATGGACTGGCTGGGGCGGGAGGGTTCATGCCCGCTCCCCACCTTCTAACTCTCAAGAGGCCCAGCAGCCCCCAAGGGAGGGCAGCAGGTTTGCCCAAGTTGGAACCCAGCCCACCCTTACCACTGCTGTTCCACCTTGCTACCACACGGTGGCAGCGGAGAACACGGCATCCCTGCCGGGGGCGGGGAGGGCCCCGAAGGAAGTGGCGGGGACCACGCAAGTTTCTGGAGCGAAGAGGATGCTTGGTGGCTGGGGCTGGGATCCGCGGCGCCGCCTCTCTTCGCCCGGATCCCTCCTCGCTCACGGGCCCGCGGAGGGGCGAGCGGGGGGACACGGAGAAGCCCTCGCCGCGGAGGCTGTGGGAGAAAGTCCTGGCTGCGCTCGACAGTCCCCGTCCCGCGTCTCCCTGCACCTTGCGGGAGGGCGGGAGGCCAGGAGGCTCCGCGGCGCCGGGCCCTCCCTGCCGCTGGGCGGGACACGAGCCGGGTGAGCCCCCCTCCTGCTCCTCCCCTGCCCTCCTCCCCCCGGATCTCGGCTCCTGGCTCCCGCACAGCCTTCCCGGGCTGCGCACCCGCTTCCCCCGCAGGGTGCACTGGTGACAGGGCCTCCCCCTCTCCCCTCCAGCTCCCCCGACAAAGGGCTGCAGGTGACTCACTGCGGCCTCCTCCCGCGGCGGATCCCGTTGGCCGGACGTCCAAGTGCAGGGGAGGGATGGTGGATCTGCACTAAAAATGCAAGGAGGCCCATAACGTGGACGCTTGCTTGGAAACGTAGCAGCTGTGCTGTTTTCTGTGGTCACGCCACCCTCCCCTGCGTAGACCCCACAGCAACTCCTCCTGAGCATCTGAGGCTCTTCCCTCTGCCCACACCTCCCTTCCCTGTCCCTTCCTCTCCCCTCCTCTCCGCCCTGACAACTGAAAACGACATCATCAGGACACAGCCCGCTCGCAGGAAGTACCTGGACCGCTCGGCCTCCTTGAATGTCCTGTGGGTCTCTGCTGTCCTTTTTACAATGGAGCCACCTTGGATAGGCGGCGGCCCCAGGCTGGCAGCGGGCAGCAGCAGAGGGCCTGCAGGCAGCCTGTGATCCTCCTCTTCACGGCCTTCCAGCCCCGCCTCCCACTGCTGGCCGGGGCTGCCCCGGTGCAGGAGTTGGAGTGGGAGGCCCCAGGACTGGGCTGGGAGGCTCCAGGACTGGGCTGGGAGGCCCCAGGACTAGGCTGGGAGGCCCCAGGACTGGGCTGGGAGGCTCCAGGACTGGGCTGGCAGGCCCTGCTGAGGATCCCAGGGCTGGGTGAGCAGTGTAGGTTGGGAGATAGAGAGCTGGGCTGGCAGGACATGCTAGGAGTGGCACAGCTGGGCTGGCAGCATGCACTGGAAGCGACAGAGCTGGGCTGGCAGGGCGCATCACAAACGGGGATCTTGGAGATGGGAGTGAGTGTCGGGGAGCCTCTGTCACCCTGCTGCCCTGGAAGCTTCACCCCAGAGAAGAAGGGCTCGGTGCGGGGAGCAGGCTCGCTGGCCCTCCTGCTTGGGAGGGGAGAGGAGGAGGTCAGGTCTGTGGAGGATGATGGCGCTTCCTCCAAGTCCAGGTCTTCAGCTGGATGCCGAGGCTTCACCTGGACTCTGAAGCCAAGCCCCTGGAGTGCCTGGTCCTGTAGCAGCAGGAAGGTCACCATCTGTTTGTTGAATTTCTTATACCTCAGAGCATCGATGACCTTCAGTGGGTTATACCCCATCCCAGCCATGACGTTCAGGATCGAGGTCTTCATGCTCTTGGACAGCGCCTTCGGGGGACTACGGGAAGGTGCACCGCAGAGCCACCCGTGCTGCAACACCTGGTTCAGTGTGGGGCGCATCCTGGGGTTGGGGGTGAGGAGCTCTGAGATTAAGCTTTTCAGCTCTGTGGAGAAGAAGGTGGGGAAAACGTATCTTCGTCCCAGGGCCTTCTGTATCACCTGTTGTTTCCTTCCAAGAAATGGGCAGTACCCAGCTACCACCTCATACAAAATAATCCCAAGAGACCAAGCATCCACGGGTGGGCCTTGGTGCTTTCCTCCCAAGAAGACCTCAGGAGCACAGTAGTATAACGTGCCCCCAGGTGCGGTCACCTTCTGGCCGGGATGGAACCTGAACCCCAAGCCAAAGTCACTGAGCTTGGGATGGCCCTCAGTGTCCATTAAGATGTTTCCTGGTTTGAGGTCCCCGTGCACAATCCCCAGGTCATGGCAGTACTGCACGGCCTCCACGAGCTCTCGGAACAGCGCCCGCGCCTCCTCCTCCAGCAGCCTGCCCCTGCCAGTCTTGGCGATGTACTGCCACAGGTCTCTCCCCCTCACGTACTCCAGGACCAGGAGTAATTCACGCTCAGTTTCGAGTACTTCTAATAGCTGGACAATGTTGGGATGCTGGAGGTCCTTTAGGATCTTGACCTCTGATGTCGTGGAGGTCAGCTTCAGTTTGTTCTTCTCCAAAACTTTTACAGCCACCAGCATCCCTGTGCCGCGATGTTCTGCCAGCAGTACGGTGCCAAAGCCTCCCCGGCCGAGGGGGTGCAGCACTGCGTAATCTTTCATGAGGCTGCGTCTGTGGGACCTGATCTCGAGGTCCCGCCATGATGTTCCCTCACTGCACTCATCATCCACACTGGACATCACGATATAAACAAAATCTATACTCTCCACACCACCAAATCAATCACCAACCACACTCCGCGCACAAATCCCAGATCACCCGCAAGAGATCTCTGGGATGAAAACCCCAGCCAAGCCACAGCTGTATATACAGCTAAGCACTGTGACCTCACACTGGCCCCTGTGCAGTCACAGGACTGATGGGCCCAGGCACAGCCGGCCACCTCTACCTTGGCCTCCTGGCTTGGTTACTTTTCTCTCATTGCTGAGACAAAATACCTAACACCCAGAGTTAAGGAAAGAAAGATTTATTAACTCACAGTTTGTGGAAGTTTCAGTCCATAATCAGCTGGCTCCAAGGCAGTATGGCAGAGCTCAGGGGAAATAGTCCAAGGGGGCAGAAGACAGCAAAAGCAGCAAGAGCACAAAGCGAA